AATGTGAGCGACAAGGGTGCAACATTGATAGAGCTTTTTAAACTGAGACAGAATTCTGCGGAATTGGTTCTCGTGGGCAAACCACCAACACGTTAGATTGAGCACCGCCCCCTCATCTTTTAAAAACCATCTCACCCCAGTTTCCCCAGACCATCCAACATGTTTACTGAGGACAGCTTCAGAGCCCTTGCTGCTCATGCCTGGTTCGAGCCTTGCTCTGAAACTACGCCTCCCCCGAGCCTGCCGGCAAATGTGGCCACGCTGCCTCCAGCGACCCCGCCACCGTCATCCCCTCAAGGATGGAACTCATACTCGGGCCTCGCGAGTCTCCCCTGGGAATCTCCAAACCAGACACTTGGACCCTGAGTCTTCAGGGTCCACCGCCTCGCTTAAACCCATTGAGCAGATATTTCACGGCTGTAAATACTTGGAGATATGTGGCTGTTACCAGTTATCATCCTTCCCCCAGTCAAGTACATTGAGAGAACACACCGCTAGTATTTAATCAATCAATCAATCAGTCAATCAATCAATCATTCAAGGCTTTATTCGCCACGTGCAGGTTGCCCTGCACTGAAACAGTACCCCCCCCACCCCCACCCCCCTTATACACAACACAGCCATCACATGGGGATACAGGTCGGAGATCGGTAGCGTTACAGAAAAACACTGAAATATACACTACAATGGGAAAGCACAAGAGGAAAAAAGAGACCTCTACTCATGCTGGGCTCCTGGGAGGACAGCATGAGAACAGGAAACAAAAAAAACTCCTCTGCACAAAAAAGCACATAAATGTCCACAGCACAACATCATGGAACACATGACAAGCCACAGGGTCGGGTGGGGGGTGAGGAGTAATCCGAAGCAAACACAGCAGCCATCCTGCCAAGCGCTACCATTCCAGCGCGGGCTCAGACCCGCCGTGTTCCCAGGAGGGATGTAATCCAGTCTGCACTCAGAGATCTTATTCGAGTATTCACAACATTATGGAACACGTGACAAGCCACAGGGTCGGTGGGGGTGAGGAGTAATCCGAAGCAAACACAGTAGCCATCCTGCCCCGGGCTACCAT